AAAACTGTGGATCAAAAAAAGTAAATGTAGAAATATCCAATTTAAAGTGTTTTCTAATTCCAAATAATTTCCACTCCAGCATCACTGTTCTTGTGGCTCATTGATTCCTTTTGTTTTAGACAGGAAATAAACATATTTTTGGAATTGTGAGGAGGCGATACATAAAAAAAATTGTTCATATCAAGAGATTTGTTTTTTAAAGGCTGAATCTAAAGTATTTACACATGAAATCACACTTCTGGGATAAACATATCTGAGGTTGGGGGATGTAATGGAAGAAAATGGGCAAAATACAAATGAAACAGAAATCGAGAAAATGTTATTTGCTGAAGCTAGGTGATGGGTAGGTACATGGTGTTCAATATACTAGCCTACTTTTCCATGTATTTTCCCATAATCTCAAAAGGAGAGCTTTCTGATAAATTATAATTTGTTGTTTCAGTATGCATGCAATATTAGTTTTAGCTTATTAAGAACCATTTTATTTTTCCTTGAGATTTCATGCCCTATCCGGAAAGATGTAATTGCCTAATACATGTTGGACCATAAAACCACATATATGTATATTCTGTCACCTTTTTTATTTTAACAGCATTGTTACTTGGTATGGGTCACCCTCCACCATTCCGAAACGTTACTCTCAGTACTTCAAAGGACATGCACAATAGTATCAGAGAAGTTTAATTCATTAGGCAGACTGATTTCAGAGAAAGATCTTCATAGTGCTTCATATTGATTTAGCTATGTGAATTTAACTTGGTTTCCCACACCATCATATCTCCTGAAACCACTTCCCCTAATGCATCATCCCTTACAAGTTGAATACAAAGAAAGTTATATTTAGCATCTCGTTTCAATATACTTTAATATATCTACCTTAGAGTTGAAATAAAAATTCAATCAATGATTACCATTTAATGAGTATCTCCATTACAGGCCCGATGCCAACATTTTTTATCTGTTCTTTTAATCTCAGCAATGGAGTGAGGGGGCATTATCAGCGCCATCATTTAGATGAGTGAAGTGTGGTTCAGAGATTAAAAAACCCTGTGGTAAGTTGGAGCCAGAATTTGAAGCCAAGTCTGCCTGAATGCAAGGCCTGTTTGATATAATTACACCAACCAAGTATTTGTACTCTGTATTATTCCAAAGGATTAAAAAAACAAACGAAACCATATCCAAGGTCCTAGGGTTCAGAAACAGTGTACCCAGCAAATGTGAGGCCCAAGTTTATAGTTTAGGTTACAGTCTTAAAATCATTTGTGTAAACTGTTATAGTTCAGGGAGAGACAGTATGTTCGGCTCACTTTTCTCAGTGAGGCACCTCGAAGACTGTTGTTCTGAGGAAGAGACTAAAGCCTGTCTTCTCTGTCCAGCTGATTTCGGTTCCACACAGCAGGGAAAAGCAACTGAGGCTGCTCACACAATGGTGAACCTCAGACCGACGATTTAGGGGAGATCATCATTTGACATCCTGAAATAGCTCACTTTTATGAAAGTACTGTCTCTGTTTTTAGTGGGCATGGTATATTGAGGGCACGTACTCAATAGCCAGTAGTGTGAACATAAAGAAATATATTTGAGTATCTTTAAAATATTTCAAATTTTTATTAAATATTTTTATTCAGTTTTAAGATCACAGTTAAAGTACTTTAGCATGTTATACACATGACTTACATGTGCAATTTTTAGAAATATCAAATTAAGTATAAGATTTTAAAGAAAAAAATTATATAAATGTGTATATTGACTTTTACTACACATACATCTAAGAAAGCAATAATTCTGTTGTACCATTGAGAAGAAATCATTTATTACATGGCATGTTTACACCAACTCTAAAGAGAACGGAGCCAATTTCTGAAAGCCACCCCCCCCCCCGCCAAAAAAAAAAAAGAAAGAAAAAATGAGCGATTCGGTCATGCTGAAACTATCAACAGACTTAAGACCTGGTAGCCAAATGAAGCTGTGGTTAATTTATGACAAGTAAGCAATTCAAACCTATGAGAAGTTCATAATCTGCTATGTGGAATCTCAGGTGGTTTAAATTCTTTTTTGGATAAATTCCTGAGAGCAAGAGATTTGTTTAGTGCTAATGAAATAAAGAAAAACATTGCTGAGCGTGTGCTGAGCTCCAGGTCATGAGCCTTCCCCACCCCCAGTCCTGCTACTCTCAGAGCTGGAGGCACTAATACGAGGTGTCAGGGGACATGGGCAAGCAGCCCCTCCGGGGGCCACAGGAGAGCTGGTAGTTCGTGAAGCATGCGCGCCTGTGATCGAGAGCTTGTGAGGTAAGACTTGCAGTGTGGGTGGGAGGGTTGGGAGGCATTGAGTTAGGTTCTTGTTACTCGGTAACCAGCTCTGACCTAAGTTATTAGAAAATCTTTGGAAGTAGTAGTTATGTTCGCAACATCTAATTCTGGCATGAAAATGAATTTGAGGGCAGGATCAATTATGACCACTGACTGCAACGAGAAAACAGTGGCCGTGGAACTTTAAAGTACAAGGTTTCCTCTTTTAATTTATTAGTGTAACTCATACCACCACAAATAAAATTTGGCCAGGAGAGGAAACTTTTTTTTTATAAAGAAAATGTACATTTACATTTTTTTTTAAAGCAAAGCTTAGTACAAACAGAAGGAGGTGTATGACAGAATCAAATATATTTGTCTTATTACTCTTTTGTTGCTTCTTTGTTCTGAAATGCAAGGAAGATAATGTCCCCAGTGAAAAGAACAAGGTCATTTATTATGGAGTATAATAAACTCAGCTGTCACTTCCAAACTAAAGCAAAGCAGTCCATCAAACCCTGAATACTTTCCCAGACATATCTGGTAAGATGAACTGAACAAACTGTTTCTTTTTAAAGTATAATGCTAGTGAATCTAAGAAAGATAATTTTTAAGAATCCCAAAACTCAGAAACAAAAATCCAAATCTAATTCTTTGGGAATGCTTGTATAAATAAGAGCAACATCTATTTAACAATTAGTACACTCTTTTTAAGGTGCAAAACAAGGTCCTATGTGAGGAAAGCTAAAATTTGATTTTACCTAGCAGTCACTCTGAATACTTTATAGGTCAAATGTAATAACAGCATTTGCTTCTACTGCCCATTTTCAGCAATACATTGTTCTCTCTGGAGAAGGCGGTTTGTGAAGTCGAAACACTGCAGTGGAAAATAGTGGCACTGAAGGCAGAAGCAAAACAAGACAAACCTTTGAAACAGGACTTAACTGAAATTAACTTTTAAAGCCGAGGTAGCCCATTAGAATTGGCCTTATCTGAGGGCTCTGTGGAGCAGTGCAATCAAAGGTGAATCTCTTCCTCAGCATCACATACACCCCCAACGTTCCCTTTACAAATGAGGACTCCAGGCATCTCATGTCTTCTTTCCTTCTTTCCTCTCAGTGAAGAGGCGGCGCTTCTCCTCAGTGCACGGGCGCTGGCCTCCAGCCTCCGGCCTCCAGCTGCTGGTCTCCAGAACACTTAGGATTCATACAGTAGTTTAGCAGGCAGCATGGTCCCACTGCTTCACATTAATGCCGAATGCCAAACGTGGAACAGAGCTAGTTGATAGTTCCCATCCCTCCCCTCCCCCACACAAACTGTATAAACAAAACATGTCATTCAGTTTTCAGCTTCCTCCTGGTTCTGTATCAACTTCTAATTTGCTTGAGCTTTTACGTAGGTACAAACACTGTCATAGGATGAGCCACAGACTGCAGAGTGCAAACAAAATTGTATGACTTAGGCAAAGTCGCATCTGACTTAATAAGAAAATGACAAGATTAGACATCTTGGATTCTAAAGAGCCAGACCAGTTCAGATGCTCCTTGTTCATAGTGTTCACTTTTTTCCCCCCTCCAGCAGTTTTAATGGCAGGAACTAGAATATCAGTGATAATGTGGGAATGATGTCAGCATTTCAGTTTTGAGGTGGCATTAGTAGTAAGTGCCATCTGACAGGATTAAATAAATATATTTCTGATGTAAGACTGTCAGAATTACAACAGTGTGATTTATCCTTTAAAAAGGGGTTTTAGTGAATTAACATTTTTTGATCTAAAAATCTGGGAACAAACCTAATTTGGGGATAAGAGCCTGTATCTTCAATGTGGCGGTGGGACACTTTTCCTTTTCCTGATCTCATTACAGTATCCAAACAAACAAAAACTTAAAAAGGATGTCTTACAGTATTTTTTTCTTTCACTCAGCTTCTTAGAGCTGCAGCTTCAGTTACTATAATATACTCTACACACTTCAAAATTACATAGGAAATACCCAGAATAACTAAATAAATAAAAGGCTAAAGGAAACTGGAACAGTACTGTGTCTCCATCAGAGACTAAATTATCCACTTCCAGCATCACAGAGAAGGGCTAGGACAATTTTTTTTTTCCAAAAGATTTATATACAGGTTTGAATCCAGAAATTAAGGTTAAAAGTATAAATATTGATAATTTCAACTAAATTCAGAATGGTTTCAGAAAGATATGATACAACAATTTAGAATAAAACAAAGCAGAAGAGCATCATATTTTGGTTTGCTTGAGATATACATAAGGTGCAACTTTTTCCTCTTGAGGATGCTTGTGGGACAAATGTTAGTGTAGATGGCATCTGCTGGCCGATTAAGGTACACACTATAGTAATACAATTTTCCAAAGTAAAGGAGAATGAGAGAAATGAAATGAAAATGACAAGGGGGAGAACTACGTATCGGTCTGAAATATTTGTGCTAACAAACGTTGTTACCTGAAAATACCAACACCCCTTTCCAGCAGCTGCAGGGTATGAGAAAAGCGCTCTTACTGAAATCAAGACTTCCTTCCACCACTCAAGAGAAACGACAAGGTGAGTGTCTAAAGAACTATAAAGCTTTGCAGGATTTCTGCTACTCTCACTGCCTAACTGCTTAAAAATTAAGCATTTCTACAAAAAGTTTTTTTTAAAGTATCTGAAAACAGTCATATCCAGTAGGTTGCCCTCCCACTCCCACCCCTGCTTAAGGGAAAAGCCACTGAGGTTTAGGAAAAGCAGATCAAGTAAGATATTAATCACATAGAAAAAAAGCAATCTTTCGTTTTGCTTCTTTTTAAAAAAAAGGTCCCATGAATATACAGCAATCTCTTGAGGAACTCTAGTGAAATGTAATCGGAGGACTGAAGGAGGGTGCTCTGGCAAAAATAGATCTATTCTAAAGTGTTCTATAGAATAACAAGTTAGTACCATTGTCAAGGTGCATGTTCTGCACCATACAATTTGTGTTGGGTTTTTTTTTTTTTTGGATTTTAGCTAATAATTTTAAAATCACTGCTAGCAAGTGGTCCAAAAACTCCCAACAGCCACCAACACTGGGACCCAGCAATTTCCAAACATTCAATTTGTGTTTTGAGATTTAGAAAATATTAATAAAATAGCATCATAGTAAAAACATTAGGCTGAAATCTGGGGTTGCTCACCTGATTTATTTCTAGGTGAATGGGGTTAAGTTTTAATCTCTGATTAACCTTGCTTACTAATTCTTTCTTCCTCCATTCGCACAATGAGTACATGCATCTTTGAGAACACCACACCAATGCTCTGCTGGCCTCTTTACCTGCTTTTAAAAAAATGTCTCTCTATATTCTTCTTCAGTTCTGTTAGTATGTTGTACATATTTTCCAGCACCGAAACTGAAGTAATATCTACAACCATGAAAAGCTAAACCTAGTCAGGACTAATAAGAGTCTTTTTTTTATATGGCTATTAGATCAAATTACAATTAGAAAAAAAATCATCATTACAATTCAGTCAAGTATAAATAAGAAAGCTAGATAAAACCTTGTAAACTGTCACCAGTTAGAGATCTAATTCAAAAGCTTCAGACTTGAACTAACACTATCAAAATTCCGCCAGTTTGAAAATCAATAAAAATTATTGCTGGACTCCAATATTTGAAATTTGGTAGTTTGTGCTGTGATGCAAGAGTGGGGAAGTACTTTGTGCTATGGAACAAATACCCTGTAAAATCTGTAGCCTCTGACTAATTTTGATTTATCACTTACATCTGTTGCTAGGAAACAAGACACTGTGAACGTCAGGTGGTGAAGTCAATATGTTGAATGTTCTAAGCCAGTTAATCCAGTTGGCACTGGCATATGTATAGTGGCTTTTATGTTCAAAAGCAACAAAACACAGCAAGGAAACAGAAACTCGCAGGTGGATCTATGACAGAGTCCCACTCTGGTCAGGCATACCTCCCTTTTCATTTACTCAATTCCTCCTTAACACCACAAACTTGAAATGGCTCTAAAAACCTGCAGTGCCAATGAGGCTGTGCATAGCAGTCGCTACCCGTCCAGTCTGTCTGGGATGGATGGAAAAGGTCTGTGGCTCAAAGTCCACGTGAGTGAGCGTCTTCAATGTGTTCAGGATAGTGAAGTAATACTAAGGTCACTTCTGAATAATATTTTTCTCTTTTTTTTTGTTTGTTTGTATGAACGATCCATTGGTCACGTAGACCCCTGTGTAAAAATAAAAGAATCCTCAAGGCATGAAAACATCAGTAATCTGTAATCTGCAGGACTCTTCCCCTCTCTGGGAAAATATTTGCCACAATTTGCCCCAAGCAAATTCTTCTTGGTCACTCAAGGCTAAGAAAAAAATTCAGCTTGTAAGAATTGTAATTTTTTTCTTATTCTTTTTTTCTTTTTGCCAGCAAACTACCACTCTGGTGGCAAATATAAAAGTGCAGAATATATGGACCACAAGGCCGAGCATACACCGCTAACAATGGTACATCTGCCTGCCCGTGCTGCGTGGGAGTCTCGGAACAGGCTTTTTAATATTATTCTACAATATAAATGTAGGTATAACCTATTATATAAACCATCTTAGAACTTAAATCTCCATGTACAAAAAAGACTAAGAATATCTAATAACTAGTGCAGTGCGTCAGTTTGTTTTTTTGTTTTTTGTTTTTGTTTTGAAAGAATAACTAGGTAATATATGAAACTAATTTCACACTCTCTGGTTGGTAAAAGAGATGCTGGATGAGCTACAGTAAAGGCAGGCTTTTACCAAGTTACCACCTATTACCGTCAACAGCCTTCAATAGAAAGCAGAGCTCCAGGATCATTCCATTTCTGCTCATTATCAAACAGATAACATCATCCTCAAAGAACAAATAGGCCCAGGAGGCTAACTTCTGCTTCAAGTGAATCTGGGCCATGTAGGGCAACAAGCACTTGTTTGCAGGCTATATTTCCCACCACACAGACTTACGAGCATCCCTCGGTAAAGACAAGGCTAGGGTAGTAGGTAAAGCACAATGTTTTACAAATTAAAGGGCGCTTCACTGGTCAGCGCAGGAAATAAGTACAGGAGCCTGTGGCATTTCTTTTGGCTGTCCATCGTGGGTGAGCGGAGTTGACCTCTGACCTCTGTGAAACAAGAGAAAGAAAAAATCACTTATTCAAAGTATGTTATCAGAAATTGGACAGGATGATAAATGACAAGTAGGTTTCCAATAATTCATCTAAGAGCTACTGACTTTACACTTATGCCGTTTAATTACAACCAATTTTGTTCTTAGAGCTTCTTTCTTTCCTTATTTTTTAAAGGATTTCTTACCTCGGTTCCCCTCACAGAACTCAACAGCCTACTCTGTCCCCAACTGACCATCTTCACTTTGTAGAATCTGAAGTAACAACAGATTTGCGAGATTCCCTAAGAAGTGGGAAACTTTAAGTCAAGAGGTTCTAGGACAATTCATCTTCCAGTTTAAAAATTTAAGGCCAATAAAAGCAATGATCCCTGAAGAGAAAGAGGTATACTATGATTCAAAAAAATAAAGGAAAATAAAACAATGAAGCCCTCCTAACTTTAGAAAAGTTTCACAGGCATATGGACAGAGTGTGTAGGGGAAAAAGGCAAGCACCGACTGAATTTTAGCATGTGAGAAAATCCAGTTAATCTGGACCAAAATCAACACATATGGAGATAGAATTCTAGGCAAGACTAAAAAATTCAGGAAAATTCCCATCATTTCGGATGGAACTACACCGAATGTAGCTGATTTTTCTTTCAGCTTTTAATGAGTAAGACAAAATACAATTTATTTCATAGTTTAAAAAGAAAACAGTTCAAGTTTCTTGGTAATTTCTACAGGGCTTCTCATTCTGAAAGGATAGGACAGGGCACCTCCCGGACATTTCCCCGCAGGCCTACCCAGCCCACACATTGCAAACCCCACTGTTCCCGCCAACAAGGGCCTGCGGCGCACGGCACTGAGCTGAAAATGCATGATGTGGCAACGATGCTTTCACTGGTTTGAAGGTTTCATTATAGGATCTTCTTCAGATTACACAGAACAAAAGGTGCTATTCTGAAATTCAAATTATATCTGCTCCATAACTATATCCAATTCCTTTCTCGATGCACAGAAAATAAAAATAATGTGGATAATTAACAACCGGGGATATCAGAATCCAATGATCACTTAGCCTGAGATATTAGGATTTCAGAAGAACAAAGTGAGTATTATAATCAAAATTCTGGACTTCTGTTTATTCACAAAGGGATGCTGTAAGCATCAACTGTTCAGTATGTTCAACTCTCTTCAAGAAAGGTGAAACTAAATATTTGTTACCTTTAAGACTGACTACGTAAAGAATTTTAATAAGTATAAGAAAAAGAAACAAAAAAATAAGAAAAGTGAAAAATGTAAAAAAAGAGAGAGCAAGAGGGGGAGAAATTGGGTGAAAGTCCAGTTTAATCAATGGAAAAAGAAGAAAGGAGCATGATGGGAGAGAATGATGACTTCTTATGGCAAGAATGCAGGTAATATATTTCTACCCCTAACTCTGTTACCACCCTCTAACCTATAAGCCTAGGTGATGCTTAAGCAATAATTAATTGATGTGAAACAAGGTAAAATTACATTAAGCCTCTATATAGGTGGAGGGCGGCCTGACGGCTCTGCTTTAACAAGTAGGGCTAAAGTTACAGCTAAGATTCCCTGGGAGGAGTCTGTCTTTCCATATACTAAGAACACTAACTATTTGTTAAGTTGATAGTAAAATTCTAGTAAGCAATATCGTCCTAATAGCAGGTTAAAAAAAAACACCTTTACTCAGACTACTTTTTCTCTGCCTGCCTGCCAACTTAGGCAGTCATACTTCAAGAACACCTCATTTATTCATTCGCCCATTCATCTATGTTTATTCGCCCATTGATGTGATAGGAACCAAGGGAGCTGGGGACATGGAGAATAAAACCAGTGCTTTGTTTTCAAAATATTCTGGAAGGAGACAGGAGAATGGACAAATAGTTACAGGCCAACGTGCTCTATGAGAGGTATGTGCAGAGAGTACAGAGGCTTTAAGGGGAGAGAAGAGGCCAAAGAACTAGAGGTGGAAGGAGGAGCAGCAGTTCGCCTGAGAGGAAGAGGAACAGAGGCAAGAACGCGCGTGCCTCTTTTGGACAGGAACAAGCAATTCCACCTGACTGCAGCGCAGGGCGGAGGCGTTGGTGGTGGTGGTAATGAGTGGAATGGTTTGAGGAGGTGCTCTGCTCTCAGAAACCAGAAGTCCTGGAAGGCTGGTTAACAGCAGCCTCTGTTTTTCCCACCCGAACCACAGTCAGGTTCAGAGGGAGCGCTGCCAGCAGCCCGGGGGCTGCACAGAAGCCGTGTCTAAGCCCGGAATTCTCCCCTCTGAATTCTGACATTACCTCTTATTCCACAAGTTATGGGGGGAACTTACTAACACTCAGGCATAAGTTTAATCCCTTTTGTATATGTATGAGTTTCTCCTTTGTACTCGGTTATGAAACTCCACGAATGGCGAATGTCCGTGTGTTTACCTCCCTCAGAGACCTGGGCAGATTTTAACACTGTTTGTCAGCATTCACTTGCTGTTAGGCACTTGCAGTGAACACATGAAAAGGAATGTGACTTACTGGACATATCTAGAGGCTATGTGTGAGGCAGGACTGGAGCCATAATATGAGAGGTAAAGAGTGAGACGCAAACAAACCTTAACAACAGGGCCTCCTAAACCTGGAAGCGAATAAGGAGAATGGAGCCTGCCAGGTGGGTATACAAGTTGTTTTTGATTCCAAGCTCTTTTGTACTGAAGACTGAAAAGCTAAGAAAGTAGCTCATCTGTGGATAATCCACTCTGGATAAAGACACGAAATACCCAAATTTACAAAAGGCTTTTTGGCCTTCTCAAAAGATCCACTAAGCAACAGAATACTCGATTGTGCACTTAGAACTTAGTATGCTTTCTGTGAACTCGGGGCTTTACCGTGTTCACAAGGCTCCGTACCTACAATCTTGGCCGGTCCTTACCACTCACTGTGTGATTCTTTGGGGATATCACTGTGCTCACTGTAAGATGAGGAAGGGGAGGTGTAGAGAAATAAATCACTTTGTAGCAAACACAGAGAGTGGAAAACAAATCCAGACCTCCTGCTGGACAGGAGTCAAATGCCAAGATACTCTTTTTCCTGAACCAGCAGTGTTTTCTTCTGCTGGTGCCACCATTGCCACCAACACCGTCCTCAACAGGGTGTTTACCCTCGGTGAGCACTGGGACATTAGATGTATTCCATATAACATGAATACGGGATGAATACCAGTTACACCCACTTTATAAAAGGAAAAACAGAGGGTACAGAGATGAACGACCTTGCTCAAGACCTTGAGTTTGCAGGCGACAAAGCCTGGACTCAAACCCAGGTCTGAAGTCTGTCTCTAAATCTCCTGCTCAATGATCAGATAATGCTGCTGCTTTGCTCTCTCAGGCTTTTTGCAGAAATAAGATTTTATCCATAGAATGATATATTCAAAATAAAACACTTGCCTGGCTATATTCTCTTCTATTTCCCCACACTGCTAATTAGCACATATACTTTTGTAACCTCACATCGACAGAAGTACTCTTGAGCTAAGTCTCATGAACCACAATGCATTGTGAAAAAAATACCACAAATGACGTCAGAAAGGATAGTTTTGGCTTCTACGTTGCATTCTTGGTCCATATTTCATGGAAGGGGTGAAGTGGAACTGGATGCCCGGGACCCAGGCAGAACAAGGCTCTCCACCACCGACCTGTGCACGTTTTCCATGGCGGCCACTTCAGCCAGCGCTGCCAGGCTAAAGAACGCAGACACGGCCGGCATCTCGGGAGTGCTGCTCCGGGTCTCAGCAGCCTCGGTGCTGTGTGCACACTCGTCATTGCAGCCTGTCTCGGTCACTTTAGGGAGACGCCGGTGCAGTTGCTCCTTTGGTTTGTCATCTGTAATGAAATGCAATTCCATCACGAGGGGATCCCTCTGTTCTCTCCAGAGAAAACTCTGTGCCAGACAATGTGAAATGAGCTAATACTCTTTACTGTTCACTTTTGTCACCCATCGACCAGTTAGACTCTTTTAGAGTTTCTTCTTCCACGGTCACAAAACTCTTTTATTAAGCTCAACTGCAACCATGGGCAGCACTGTGCCCTGAAGCTGAGCCTAGACAAGGTCTGTTTTATTCAAGGTCAAAGAATAGGTCAGTCTTGGAGAAGGAAAAAGGGGTTTTGGCCATAATAAAACCCAAGGGACTTCTACAGGGGGGTCTGTGGGTGCTGTAAGAGGGCCCTTGCCAACCCAGGTGACCAAATATTTACGATGAGGCCGCAGAATACACTACCCTAGACACTCAGTATGTGGTTGCGCCAACACGTAGGATGGCCAACACTAATCCCAACGAGATCCCAAGTTTCATTTTTGTTCTGAAGGTCTACTGTAAGAAAGATAAAGCATCAACATATGTGTTGGAAATGAGTTGGCTTTGTTTATTACATAGCCATGATAGAGGATCAAGGTTTATCATGGTTTAAAAACATTTCAACAATAGAAAGTAATTAATAAAAGCAGAAATGTCATATATTAAGTGAACATGAAAGAGCAATGTACTTTTCTACACAAAAGAGAGCTATTTTCTAAAACCTTTCACTCTTCCTACAAGTAAAAATGAGGCTATAACCATTTACACACACACACACACACACACACACACACACACACACACACACACAGAGAAGGTGGGAGGGGGCTGCGGGACTAAATATTAGGAAAACTAGATTCTAGTCTTCATCCTACTTCTGCTCAGTAGTTCAAAGCATTCAAAAATAAAACTCTACCTCTTTGAGCTTCATCTCTTATATGACAGGATAAAATTGGGGATGTTCAATATGCTTTATGGTTCTAACAATCTACACATGCGAAACAAGAAAAGTGCACAAAATTCGCTGATTGTCCTCTAATTTTATCTCAGTGAACAATGAATCTCTATGAACAACTACATTAACCTAAATCAGATATTTATAAATCTCACTCTCAAAAACATTCGTTTAAACATTTTTTTCCCTCCTTATAGAATTGTAGACCTTTGACCTTTTCCTGGAAGTTGGATTAGGGTGAGGGGAGGGACACTTCCTTCAGGGCTGACAGAATAAGATGCTCGAGTTGCTAAAAGACAGAAAGGTGACAACTAAGACCACTAATGCCCCGTTGGTGGAGGACCCCCAAGAGCTGAGGGAGGAGACTCAGTGTTACTCTCTGACCCCACTCCTTAACTTGGGTCCACCAGGTAATTCTATTGCCATGGGGACCACCAGGAACAACAAAAAGACCCAGACCACAACTGAAAATGGAGAAATTTGCTTTTAAGTTAAGAGTTGGCTAACGATTAGCCCAGACAACTCAAGGAATCCTGAAGCATTCTCACCCTCCCTTGGTGGTCTGAATCAGTTTTACGGGAAGAGCTGGATGCTTTCTAAGGTGCCTTTATTCACTGGCTTAAATACCCGATAATCTGGCCTGTGGTGACTTGAGCAGTGAACCAGGGAGAAACACTGATTCATCCAGTACTTTTAAAAGCCTAGGATCTTTGGGAATTTACTTAACCAGGGCTGTTTTTGTGCACGCTGAGAAAGAGAAGAAGAAGCTGAGTCCTAAAAATTACCTTTCCTTTCTAGGAATTCAAGATATGCTCTTGGAAAAGAGCTATAATTTTATGACGTGGACTAAAACATGGACATTTGAAAGTCTGCGGAAAACTAGTTCTCAAGGAGATCCAGAAGGAGAAAATGTTACGGTGACCAAACCCACAGAACAGACCTATTTTTCAGCAAGGACCCACAGTTGGCGTAGAGTCATTTGCTGGCCAAAGTGGCCGTGAGGGTCAGCTGCTTGGTCTGGTTTTCTCTGCCTAGTTCTCCCTCTTACCCAAAGTACCTCCTGCTGGTGACACCCGGCCATCTGCTGTCCTGACCAGGTGTGTGATCTTGGTTTTCCTTGCTTTTCTCTTTTGGCTGCCCACCAGGGGTTCTTGCGTTGCTGTTGGCTCTGGAGTGTTGGGAATGGATGGGGCATTTTTAACCTTATGAGCAGGCTCTGTGGTGTTTTTGTCTTCAGTAAATATGGCTGAAATAGGACAAACCATATATAGTTACACACAAAAACACAAGGCACCAACATTGCTCTTGGAAGGAAACATTTCTGAATGTCTGACCCATCTGAATGGAGAACTTACACTCAAGAGTTTTCAAAGTATTGATGGGAAAAAAAATAAAAACAATGCCCATAATTTTAAACAAATATAATTTATTTATATTTGCTTTCACAGATTAAGTACAGAGGATTAAGATGCCCTCTCTGTCTTTTAATAGAATACTGAACACCAGAAGGCCACTGGAGTAACATTAAATGTTTGGATCTTGCAGGTTAGTGGAGAGGCCAGTGTATGCAGATCTGTGTAAATTGTGTCTGAAATGACCACAATTTCTACATGTGGTCAGGGTCCCTATTTAAGATCCTTATGGCAAGCTGGTCCGAAGAAGGTGACGGAAGAAATTTCTTTCTTCTGAAGACACTGAGATTAAATATGTGCTTCTTAAAGTTAAAGTGATCCCTGGGGCAACTGCTTCCAATCACAAAGTTGGACTGATCAGAAAAAGAAGCTGTTTGTGAGGAAGGACTTTCTCACTGACCACTCAGTACGGACCCGACTGACATACATTGGTGGAGGCAGCACAAAACGGAACTTCTCTCCTATTTGCTAAATTCTAGGACTGTGTGAATGTGCTCAGTGAGAGAATTTAATGAAGTACCATGTGTCAGCAGGCCTCCTTGAAAAGTTTTAGTTTTAGGTACCCTTAATTCTAACGGGATTATCAGTAAATCATTTTATAGCACATGCTTGAATCCTAAATGCAACAGTTAAGAAGAGTAAGGGACAATGTTTGCCACCAAAGACTTGATCCCGGTTCAAACTGTTTGGGAGTGCTTGTGTCTTATATAGTCTTTTCCTTAGGAGCTCATCCCTCTCCCTTTCTTCTCAGTGTCTTCAGAATAAGACAAGAATATGCAGATATCCATATAGGAAGCATTTAGGAGTACACACATGTAGTCAGGTTTCACGACTGGGACTTTTTTTTATTCCAGTGGCCACAGGTCTCTTGGGCAGGGAAGAGATGCATCTTTCCTTTGTTTAACTATCCAATCTCTCTCCCCTTTATTAAAAAAGATTTAATTTACTTATTTAGAGAGAGGGGGAAGGGAGGAAGAAACATAGAGGGAGAGAAACATCAATGTGTGAGAGTCTTGCTTGCCCCTAACTGGGGACCTGGTCCGCAACCCAGGCATGTGCCCTGATAGAGAACTGAACTGGCGCCCTTTTGGTTTACAGGCCAGCAGTCAATCCCCGGAGCCACACCTGCCAACGCTAACTATTCAATCTCAAGACAGGCACAGAAATTGCATGTGAAAAAGAGGGGAGTGTGGCTCAGGAAATCAAGGTCTGACATGACAAACTCCATGCAAACTACCCCTGGAAGATAACTGAAGGTGCTTATCACAGGAGGATGTGAGTGAGGGCAGACACTGGAAATAAGAATATACATAACATAAGAAGAAAAAGAGCTGTCTGTAATAGGAAGAGAGAATAAGGGTGTGAAAGAATGCACTGCTCATATAAATACTTGCATTGGCTTAATTAAAAATTTTTAATCCAGTTCTCTAATGGGTTTAGTTAGGTACATCCTTGAGAAAGGAGGGCTATGAATTGGTAAAATCTTTGCCCTCAAGGGGCTGATTCCAGGCTTCCCATTCCAAAACACGTGGGAAATAATTTCAGTTACATCAAAAGAAAAAATGTAAAGCATAAATCATAACATAATTTGGGGCCTGGCCTTACCTCAATATTGCCTAATAGAGATGGCTGTGTGGGGACAGGCTTAAGATAATTTGTTATTTATTTTTTAAAATGCACTATTTGGCAATGCTCCCAAACACCTTTTCAAGCAAATAATCAACAATTAGAAAAAAGGCTCTTTTTAAGTTGTAGATCTATCCCCAGGTCAAAGAGTCTTAGCATATTTATACTTTGAAATTTAGCAGAACACAGGTCAGTGGTAATATATAAAAAATTTTTTCAGTTTGAACTTCAATAAAGCCCACATAAAATAAAAATAAAAGATAATTTGGTTAGAAACACTCCAATGACATTTCATAACTCTGCATTAGCCTTGAAATCCAAAGCCTCCTATTGGTTAAAGAAGCCCAAATCTGACTTCACAATGAGAATTAAATAACCTCTATTGGATCTCCACAAGCAAGCTTCAAAATTTCTAGTTTCTGATCCAGACCCATGAGATGTCCCTTCTGATTACAGGGGTATCTTATTCACCTCTCCAGTATGATCACTACATTATAGATGCGCCTTCCAGAAAAATCAATGACTTCTTCCCTCTTCTCTTCCTCTTCCCAGAAAAATCCAGAACTTGTGGAAATAAGGGTATATATAGCAAGTTCCAAAGAGGAGGGATGCTTAATGAAAGAAAGAACCAAGGAGGTCAAAGAGAAGGCACAGAGACCCAGAAAGATCATGGGGTGGTGGAAATAACACAGCTACAGAGAATCCTGGATTCTACTCATGACATTTACATTCACTAATTGTGGGACCATGGACCACAGGTCTCAGTTTCTTTATGTAAAGATGGAGTCTGGACTAGATAAGCTCTAAAGGAGCCACCCAGCCCTAAAGTTCTTTTCATTTTGCCACATAGCCTAGACTCAGAGTCCTGATCATAGAAAAAGAAGTCTACAGCCTGCTCCAGAGGATCAAGGCCAGGAAAGTGTATTTATTCCCTTGATAAAGTGTACAATTGCCTAACCACTATGCTGTACACCTGAAACTAACACAAAAAACAATACTAAATGTCAAGTCAAACTGAAAAAAAATTATTTTTAAAAAAAGAGTAGTCCCTTGACTAGAACTGTTAAGATTTTTTTTGTTTTTGTTTTTAGTAAGCCTTCAAATGGTTTCATTTCTATTCAATGCTTACTCCTTTTCCTGTGTCTTCTACATGAATTGGTAAACATGCAGCAGAAAAACCAAAGGATGGCTGCAAAGGGACTGCAAATGGGAGGCAGAGTTTAGACCTAAAAGTATATAGGGACTAGGGGAAGCTCGGAAACCAGCATGCAAGGAGCCAGGAGGCAAAAGGCAGGCCAGCTAACAGACACCAGTGATAAGCAAGTCTGAAAGGATGCTGCATTGGGAGATAGTAAAGGAGTGAATGAGGTTGCAGACTAAGAGGCAAAAAAAGAGAATAAGGCAGGTTTTCATAAACTGCTGAAAAGGAGGCAATGCCACCTCTCCAGATGCCATCTTCTCTAAACCTATTGTCAGATCAAGAAGTAACTGTGGGCCCTGCAGACTGAAAAGGGTGTGTAATGTGGTCTTACTAGAGTTTGGAAGAGGAATTAAGAGTGAGCCCTACCCCACACTCTGACCCAGGAGTTAACCCTAGAACATTTTGCTGGCAATTGGCTGGTGGTATAGAGTGATGACAACCTTCAGGGTCAGCACCAAGGGAGAGCCCTCCCCCAGACAGAAAAACAGGAAGAGGCAGGTAAGGCTAAGTCAAAGAAGTAGTTGTCTGGGACAGGACAGCAGATTCGAGGCAACATTAGCAAAGTCTTGGTGGTAAGGGACAGGAAAAAGAAAAAGCTCAGGGAGAGGAAAAAGCATGATGTTGAGTGTCAAGACAACAAGCCTGTTCTTTTTTTCCTCCCTGACAAACTAATGTAAATGTGAGAAAAGAAAGGTTTTGTCGTCTAAAAACAAATTAAGTCATTTCTCTTTCGGCTTGTAATTGAACACACAAACCTACCCAAGCACTGCAAAACAAGTCCACAGGGCTAGTTTTTACGCTCCACGATAATCATAACACACTTGGAGCGTATCACGGAAGAGCGATAAATGTGAGCTCGCTCCTGGAGCAACATTAGGAATGTGGCAGTAACAGACTCTTGTTTTCCAAACTCTACTCCCAAAATGTGGAGTAAGTTTTTGGTATTGGATCCCAGGAGACCACTAGAATGTTACAGAGTCATGAATTCACATTCCAACTAGGGGAATCAACTTGCACTGAAATTATTATAGCCAAATCCGGAATCTCATTGCCTTTGGTTGTTCTCCTGTGAGCTGAAAATGCACAGGAAAAAGAATCAAATGAATGAGCCTAATCTAAGATCCCAGGAGATCTTGCTGAAGTTTATAGCAGCTATTTTGAACTGAGAAAAGAGATCAAGTAAGCCTGAGTGCTATGGCTCGTGTTTGAAAATCTAACTATAAACCAGATTTTTCTCCTCTGTAATTAGATGTGTTGCAAAGAAACTAATCCTTTGGAGATTCCTAGTTTGAGGTTTTTGGTTTTCTTTTTTTACAGGATACCATTTATAATTTCAACATCTGAGCCAAATGAGGGACATCTACAGATATCCCTAAAAAATTGAAACTATAGCAGCCAATGTGCTTTAGTGGAAAGACTACTGGTTTCTTTCCTTCCTGCTTACGTTGGTCAGTCTTTAATTCCTTACCATGCATTAATCCTTCCTTTATTCACCAAGGCAGCTGTCAAGATTCATTTTCAGTAAAAAAAATATGTAAAATTCCTCTGAAAACTATAATGTACTATTAAGTATTAATTACCATCATCAATTTTATTTCTACTAGAAATCTTAATCTAGCTTTGGCATGAGCATGACATCATAAATTGGTAGAAAGATAAATGAAGTGACAGAGGTAGGTTGTCTTGGTTTATCTGAACATTCTACCTTTAATTCTAAAGTATTTATAAGCAATCTTTTTTTATGATCTGCTCAAGTTTCAAGAAATAGTTTAGTGATTTTGAATTTTAAAGACACGGGGGGAAAATGCTTAAAACAGGTTATAAGCTTAGCACTTAAACTTCAGATGTGATTACTAAGCATCTACAGATTTCTGATATTTTGGAAAAAAAATACAAATTGCAATCCAATTATACTCAGGATGACTCAAAGAAGGCATAGTGAACTTTAAGTCCTCCACTTCTACAGAAGTCAGGAACAGCTAACAGCTGCGTAGTCTCAGTTGAATCAACATTTCTACTACTACATCAGCTACGGACAACTCCTGTCTAAACTTTGCATTGGGTGGTTTACACATGCTACAGTTATCCTGATTATGGTTTCATTTCCTTAAATTATTACACTCTCAAAAGTAAAGTTTAAATAAGCAGTAGTGTGGCTATGGGAGAGACACAGGCAGAAGTAAAAAGCTAATTCACAAAGTACATAGTTTGCTATCCAAACAGGTAAATGTAGGGGATAGTATGAAAATAAGTAACAAGAAAAAGTCAAGTCAAATTAATGGTTATTTCAAATGCTCAAACCGATTCCTTTTTTCCTGGTCACGTAAAAAGAATCTGCACCCTACACTAAAAGACATGTAATTTTTGATGCATGTTCTCCAAAGTTTCGTTCCATATACATTAATCATAAGTATAATGAAAAATCACCAATAATAACTCTATTTCCAACTAAACCCTTGGGATTACCCAGAAGACTCAAAATTGATTTACTTTTCTACTCCCAAAAGGGCAGAAAATTAGGGCTTCAGAATTAACCTACTTTCAGCATGACACCACCCACCCAAGATATCACAGTAATAAAACCATCAAGTGTTAGAGGGGAAACGAAATTTGTGGTTCATGTACTATCACACGCATCATTCACCCCACCCCTAATAAATGTATCACATACACCACTCAGGACCAACATGGACAGTGAGCCCTAGTGAGGTTAAGCAATCCGTCCTGCTAAAAAAAGCTCATTAGTGACAAATCTGAAACTAGTGCCCTGGTTTCCTAATTCCTACCTAGCTCATTCTTTCTACCACACTGATAACTCATTTTATATGAGTTATCAGTGTGGTATATAACCCATTTTATATGAGTTAGGGTTTTCATTGTTTAAAAAACAAAATGACAGAGCAGTATCATTTCGGAAAAAAAGAAGTGCTGTGGTCTTAAACGCCTCTTTGAGATTCCTCTTATAGTTTACCAGTGCCTCGTATTTATTAAATCTGTGTAGAATATATTTTTAAAATATGCAAGAACTAACAGGTATCAGTTTTAGGATGTCAGAATTTAATGCTGGGAGCAGAGCAACAATTCATATTTTGTTTTGCCAGAGAAGTGCTGAAATAATACTCCACAGAGGCTGCGATGTGAGTTAAAAGGTCAGAAAACAGATACGCTGCTGGGTTTTTCTGTAAAAGTAAATGGTGTAAGAGCAGGCCTTGGTTCTTGGGGGCTGTACCTTCCAAACAAAAATATTCCCCATGTTTATAATGAACCCAAATCTGAATTTTTTTATAAATATCTTTAAAACATGAGTATTTTTGGTAAGTGATTTAGGCTAAATATGTGCACTTTAATTTTCTTCTCTTTAGTACAGCAATAAGTGTGGTTGGGAGTCCAGAGATGCGGGCTATTCATTAAGTCCCCCTTTCTGGCCACAAGTAAATCAAAGAGGTTGAACTGGTTGACCCCGAAGATCTCTTCTAGTTTTCAAATTAATCAACTCCTAATTAAGCACTAACAAAAGTAGTCAGCTCTTTCAACCTATCTACAATGGAAAACAGGGGATCAATGAGAAGAAGGGAAGGAGGGCCTCTTAACCATCACAGAAATGAACATTCATCTGAGGGTTCAGTATTTATTAGAAATTACATAACATCACAAATAAATGTGATTGTGAGAAATTCTGAAATAAAATCGACACCTTGGACCTGTAACATTATACTGGTCTTACATGGGCCTTTTTTTTGGCTACACATAAGCTTCAGGGGCACTTCATTTAAACACATTTCCAGGCACTGGGAAGCTGGCTAGAAAAAGAAGTTCAGGCAGGGAACCATTTCCGCAGGCTCGCCCATGCCCAGCCCACCAGCTCAGCCCCATGCTGGCCCTGTTCTAACTCCCATCAGCATCTGCCTGCAATGCCGACTGCAAAGCTAAGTATTTTTAGTTATGAAAAACCTGGTTAATGTGGCTCAAAGGTTACAAATCCCCCTTTGACAAATTAAACTCCATATGATACACTGCTTGACCCTGAGCAGGGTCAAAAATATACCAGTTTCGATTTGAAAATTTAAAATAACCCAATTATGAACACTCAGGCCTAATGCTATTGGTTGAGCCCATATAAATTACACCTTCTAAAACCTATTAAAATTGTGCCATTTCCAACGCAGGTGACCTGAGATGATACAATGAATATTGCTGTTTTTTACCTTCTGTAGGGTGAATGGCATCCAAGAAGAATTGCTTGTTCGACCATTTATCCCCACTTCCTAAAAACAATGAGAGAAGAGGAAAGTGAAACTCTATTCCTAGTATAGGTAGACACACTATAAAAATAAGACAATATACAAAACAACTTAACTAAAAAGCATTATCACACAAAGCAGAATTTTATTTCAACTACGTAATCCTCAAAACTGCATTTGCCAACTAAAAAACTAGGCTATACAGGAAATGGGTCAAACATAAATTTACCTTTTATGAAAGACATTGTTGGGTAAATTCTATGGCTTTAATCAATAAAATCTGAATAGGAGTTAAAAGGGAATGATACAAGCTCACATTTTACCTAAAGAGTAATATTTCTCCACTGAAAGCAGAGAAATCAAGACATTAACATAAAAAACAAACCTAAGAGGCTGAAGTGGAGGTGAAAATAAAACCCAAATTAATTAATAGGTTACATCCAAGAATACACAGGCACTAATGTGCACACATGGGAGAGAGTTGCATTTTAAGCCTCATCCTAGAAACATGAAAGGCTTCACGTCTGGCCATGCAAGTAGGATGCAAATGGGCTTGAAAGAGTAGGCTCACGGTAGTCACGACACTGGCATGCAGGGAGATGCTAAAGAAAGCCTGACTCCCAGGACACGTGGCTTTACTGAGCCAAATGGGGAGATTTATCTTTCATGTGAAAGAAGAATGGGAGTCCTGAACTATGAGAAGAAAAAAACCTTCCGAGGAGCCCTGATGAGGGTTCAAGGGCCCATGAGGATCATAGCAATGACACCGACGTTCAGAGTAAAGGGAGTGTAGAGCGCAGTACATCTCTAGTGCTCTCCAGAAGTGACGGTTATGTGACTGAAGGAGGGACAAAGAAGAGTCTGGCAAGCGGTGAAGTATATAGTTGGGGGAAAAAAAGGAGGTTATGACTTAGGAGTGAAATCCTCCTTGACAAGAATCCAGAAGTGTCAGAAAAAGTACAGAAACCGTGGGACTTTCGTGATTAAGAAACTGGTAAGGTTTCAGGAGGGAGGAAAATGTGGCCCTGCTATGAAGGCTGCCAAACACGAGAAAGAGAAAGTAGTCAGAGAAAATAAGGGGAGAAAAGAGCTCAAGAAAACTAAATTGCAAAATGCACCAAAATATAGATGAGAAAAGCAATTTTAGGTTTCATATGGAACTCTGAAAATAGAGACAAGTATGGGATTTGAGTAGAAATCCAAGGAGATCTCTCTTTGCAATTAGCTGCAGAATCTAGAAATAACGAACACGCCTGCATCAGGAGCTGATGACATTGAAGCAAGCGAAGGGGAGGAAAAGGCAAAGCCGGTGTGCAGAAGCATTACTCAAAGGTGACTTCACAATGGAGGTGGCCAAGAAACCTTAATGGAGGATGGAAGGCACCAATACCTTTTTCTGGAACATTAGGCTTCTCCTTTTTGTGCTTATATTTGCTGACAATTTTGTGGAATAAGTTCTTTTTCTGAGACTGGAAAGGACCTACAGACAATATTAATATAAATATATTTTAAGTTCACAATGTTCCATAAAACAGTACTATGTGTTTCTAAATAATTAACACCCTCCTCCCACCTGTGGAATAAGCAAACTGAGTCATAAGAAATTTCACCTTGAACTGCTACTCTTGTAACTAATGCTCAGCCTCTTTCTTTAGGTTCATATAAAACCCAGTGAGATTTTCCTTCAAAATGTATTGGGCAGAAGCCTCCATTAGGGCTAAGACTTCCTCAGCAGAAACTACAGATTTAGTGACTAGAGACAGACCACAACTAGTAACAGCAGAGTAACTGTAGTCTGTAACAAAGAAAAGATTTTACTTTCGATTCCTAAATATCATGAAGGAAAGGATGACACAGGCATGTCATCTCTCCTAAGAAACTGACTTTCACAACAAGGACAGCACTTTTGGGATAATGGTTGGCCTGATAGCATTAGATAGCTTTCTAGCCTTTTCTGGGGATATTCTAGGAAGAAAAAAGTGATTTCAAAATAGAAAAATATTTGCCAACCGCCCCCCCCACCAATCTTTTTTTCCCAGTGGAGGGAGAAGCTTCAGATTGTATCTTAGTTCTCTCAGAGAAAAGAGAAGTGCAATTTTTCAGTTACCAATCAGAAATGCCAACAATAGCACTGACCTCCCCAAGGTACATTATTTCTATATGTTGTTGATAGTCCTATGTGAAACTGACATTTTAAGTAACTTCTGTTCCCCCCTCTCTAAACGGGAATAACAACAGTGTCCAGTTCACAGGCTTGATGTGAGGATGAAAAGCATCAGAATCTCTGTAAACTGCCCCTGCTCTATCTACCCACCTACCAGCACTGCAACCACATGCTCTGCCTTCCCAGGGCAAATTTATGCGCCTGTCTAAAGTCCACAAGTCAATGGCTTTTATATCCACAGATTATTCACAATCATTATCAGTTTGGGATATTTTTATCACTTCAAAGCTAATATCTTTTAGCTCTCACTCCTCCCTGTAACTGTATTCCCCCTATAACTAAGCAATCACTAATCTACTTTCTCTATATATTTTCTAGAAATCTGGAAATTACATGTAAATGAAATCAAATAATACGATCTTTTTTTATCTGTATTCTTACTCCTGGTATAATGTTTGCAACAGTCATCCATGTTGCAGCATGGAACATTATTTCACTCCTTTTTAAGGCTGAATAATATTCCATTATATGGCTATACCACATTTTGTTCATTCATCAGTTAATGGACATTTGAGGTGTTTCTACCTTTTGGTTTATAAATAATCCTGTTATGAACATGCATATACAAGCTTTTGTGTGGATATGTTCATTTCTTTTAGACATATACCTGGGATAACTGTATGTTCAACCCTTTTGAGAAACTGTCAGACTAACATCCTTATTACACTAACATACTCTACTAATATTTATCTGTCTTTTTAATTACAGCCATTTTAAGGATGTGACGTGGTATCTCTCTCCTTGTGGATTTGATCTGCATTTTCCTGATGACGAATACAAGCATTTTTTTTCATGTGCTTACCGGCCATTTGTATACCGTCTATAGGGAAACATCTATTCAAATAATTTGCCTATTTTTAAACTGTTTGTCTTCTTGAGTTGTAAGTTTTTTATATGCTCTAGGTAAAAATCCTCATCAGACATGTGATTTGATATTTTCTTTCACTCTGTGGGATTTTTTTCACTTTCTTATTAGTGTCCTTTAAAGCATAAGTTTTAAGTTCTGATACAATCCAATGATCTATTTTGTCTTTTGCTGCTTGACGTTTTGGGTATCATATCAAAGAATCCATTGCCAGGGTCACTAAGACTGACCCCCATGTTTCCTTTGAAGAGATTTACAGATTTAGTTCTTATGTTTAAGTCTTTGATCCATTTTGAGTTAATTTATAAGGGCCCAATTTCATTCTTTGGAATATGTGTACCCAGTTTTCCCAGCACCATTTTTTGAAAAAGCTATTCTTTTTCCATTGAATAAGTCTTGGCATCCTTGTGGAAAAATCTGTTGACCAATGATATATAGATTTATTTTTGGACCCTCAATTTTATCCTATTGACCTCTGTCTATCTACTACACTGTCTTATTTCCTTTCTTTTTATAGCCAGTTTTGATTAAGAAGTGCCCTGGCTCTTCTGAATACCTCACAATTCCAAATTAAATTTAGGATCATTTGTCAATATCTACAAAAGAAGTAGACAAGAGTGTTCCCATATTAACAATATTCAGTCTTCTGACCCACGAACATAGGAGGTATTTCCATTTGATCATCGTTCTTTAAACAATGTTTTGTACGTTTCAGTGTGTTACACATTTGAATACTTTATTCTTTTATTTATTTATATTTAAAAGATTTTATTTATTTATTTTTAGAGAGAGGGGAAGGGAGGGAGAAAGAGAGAGAGAGAGAGAGAAACATCAATGTGTGGTTGCCTCTCACATGCCCTCCCCACCGACCCCGGGGATCTGGCCTGCCACCCAGGCATGTGCCCTGACTGGGAATTGAACTGGCAACCCTTTGGTTCACAGGCTGGCACTCAATCCACTGAGTCACACCAGCCAGGGCATATTCTTTTTTAAAAAGATTTTATTTATTTATAGTACAGTGCATCTTGTCTGAATTTCCTTTACTTCTTCCTGAATCAAGGAGAACAAAACCAAACAGTTACAGTCTTGACAGCTTATTTTAATGACCAACTAAAGATACCATATTTAGAAATTCAATTTTCTGCAACTTTCATGTCTTACAATTGAGTTTTCCAAGCAAGTTCAATTAAAAAGAAAATCTGTTTTAGTTTCTAAAAATTTATCTTTTTCATTTAAATTTTATTGTATTTTTCCCCATTACCATTTACCCCCCTTATACCTCCTTATATCCCCCTCCCTCCAGGAGTCACCACACTGCTGTCTATGAATTTTTTTTCCTCTTTGCTTGATCCCTCCACTCCCTACCCACCTCCCCCAACAATAGCTGTCATCTGATCTCCAAGTATGAGTCTATTTCTGTTTTGCCTGTTTGTTTTGCTAGTTTGGTTTGTTCATTAGATACCACATAAGTGAAATCATATGGTATTTGTCTTTCTCTGACTGGCTTGTTTCACTGAGCATAATGTTGTCCAGATCAATCCATACAGTTGCAAAGGGTAAGTTTTTCTTCTTTTTAACAGCTGAATAGTATTCCATTGTGTAAATGTCCCATGATTGTTTTACCTACTCATCTGTTGATGGATACTTGGGCTGCTTCCATGTCTTGTGCGACTGTACACTGCAATGGACATACAGGTGTTTTTGTTCTTTCGAATTAGTGTTTTGGGTTTCTTCAGATATATGCCCATAAGTGAGACTGCTGGGTCAAAAGGCAGATCCATTTTTAATTTTTTGAGGTGTCTCCATACTGCTTTCCACAGTGGCTGCACCAATCTGCATTCCCACCAACAGTGCAAAAGGGTTCCCCTTTCTCCACATCCTCACCAGCATCTGTTGTTTGTTGATTTACTGACAATAGCCATTCTGACAAGTGTGAGATGATATCTCATTGTGGTTTTAATTTGCATTTCTCTGATGATTAGTAACATTGAGAATCTTTTCATATGTCTATTGGCCATCTGTACGTCCTCTTTGGAAAAGTGCCTATTCAGGTCCTTTGCCCATTTTTAAAAAATTGGATTGTTTGGTCTTTTTTGGTGTTCATTTCTATTAAGTTCTTTATAAATTATGGATATTAACCCCTTATTGGATATATTGGCAAATATGTTCTCCCATTCTGTGGGCTGTCTTCTTATTCTGTTGATAGTTTTCTTTGCTGTGCAACAACTTTTAGTTTGATGAAGTCCCCTTTGTTTTTTTTTGTTTTTTTTTTTTGTTTCCTTGCCCAGGGAGAAATATCTGATAAAAAACTATGAACAATATCCAAGATTTGGGGTTTTGGATCTAACATTTAAGTCTTTGATCCATTTTGAATTTATTCTTGTGTATGGTGTAAGAAGGTGGTCTAGTTTCATTTTTCTCCATATATATGCCCAATTTTTCCAACACCATTTATTGAATAAACTATCTTGAGCCCATTATATGTGCTTGCTTCCTCTGTTGAATATTACATGACAATAAAGGTGTGGGTTTATTTCTGGGCTCTCTATTCTGTTCCATTGATCTATGTGTCTGTTTCTATGCCAGTACCCTGCTGTTTGATAACTATGACCTAATAGTATAGATTGATATTAGGTACCATGACTCCTCTAACTTTGTTCTTTTTCAGGATTGCTGTTGCTATGCAGGGCCTTTTGTGGTTCTGTATAGATTTTTGAAATATTTGTTCTAGTTCTCTGAAATACACCACTGGTATCTTGATATGAATTGCATTGAATCTATGGATTGCTTTGGGACATTTTAATGATGTTAATTCTTCCTATCAGTGAACACGGCATGTGCTTCTACTTATTTGTATCTTCTTCAATTTCCTTCTTCAGTGTCTTATAATTCCCAAACTACAGGCCTTTTATATCCTTGGTTAGATTTATTCTAACCAAGGCATTTTATTTTATTTTTTTTTGAAGCAATTGTGAGTGGGACTGTTTTCTTAATTTCCTTTTCCGTTAATTCTTTATTGGCATGTAAAAATGCAACTTATTTCTAGATATCAGTTTTGTATCCTGCTACTTTGCTGAATTAATTTATCAGTTCTAATAGTTTCTTGGTGGAATCTTTGGGGTTCTCTATGTACAGTATCATGGCATCTGCAAATAAAGACAGTACTTCTTCCTTTCCAATTTGGATGCCTTTTATTTCTTTTTCTTGTCTGATTGTTTTGGCTAGGATTTCCAGTACTATGTTGCATAAGAGAGGTGAAAGCAGACATCCTTGTCTTGTTCTCAGTCTTAAAGGGGAAGACTTATAGTTTTAGCCTGTGGAGTATGGTGCTGGCAGTGGGTTTGTCATATATGGCCTTTACTGTGTTTAGATATGCTCCCTCTATTCCCAT